GGGGGGGCGACAGGCAAGTGGCGGTGGGGCGGGAGCCTGGGTGTCGCCCTGGGACAGACCGCGGAGTGGCTGTGTGCAGTGCAGGGCAGAGAAGGAGTTAAAGGCTGAGGGAGGCAATAATGTGTCTAAGTTTTCTGTGTGATTTAATAAAAATGCAAATCACTGGGTGGAGGACACCCCGCCCCCTGCCACGCTTTTGACCGAGATTAACTGCGGTCTCAGGGTGGTCAGCCTGCATTTGTCTGCACCCCCCAGCAGAGGCTGGTGCCTCCATCGTCCCAGGGGCAGACAGCGCGCCCTCCGCCCGGATGGAGGGGAGCTGGGGGGCGGGGGCGTGGCCGTCACAGTGTCGGTGCGTCTGCTGAGCGGGAGGGCCCTGGAGGAGCCTTCCGTGGCCTAGCTGCTCAGAGCCGGGCTCGCCTCTGACCTCCACACCCCCACGTCCAGAGGAGCACGGGGCCTGCGGTGATAATGGCCGAGTCCTGGGTACGTGGGATGACGCTTGAGGTGAGGCTGTAGGACGAGAAGAGGCAGCCAGGCAGAGACGGGAAGGAAGAGCTTTCCCAGCCGCAGGGGCAGCATGTGCAAAGGCCCTGAGGTGGGAGTGAGCCTGACCTGGGCAGGTCAGCGCAGAGGCTGGTGTTGGATGGCGGACAGGTGGGACAGGGGTAGTGCCGGGAAAGGCAGAGCCACGTGGGCTCCAGTGGGGCTCTGGGCCTGTCCCACAGGGGAGGGAAGCCCTGGCCGCTGGTGAGACCAGGCCCAGGGGCAGGGGTGGGGTCCTCAGTCCCTGAGGAGGTGGCGGCTGTGGGGATGGGGAAGTGGGTGGGTCTGGGCTGCAGTTAAAGCCACACCCAGCAGGCCAGGGCTGGGGGCTCTGGGAATTGGGGTGCCCGCGAGGTTTGGTGAGAGGTGGTGCTGTTTGTGGGGGGCTTGGCGGGGGAAGAGGCCGGAGTCCCGAGTGGTCAGTGAGGCCACACAGGGCCACATGGAGATTGGAAGAGCCGGGGACGCTGACGTCCAGTCTTGGGAGAGAGATTTGGGAATCTGGGGCCTGTGGTCAGAGCGTGGAATGTTCTCGGTGCAGCATTTGGTCAGCATGAGCAGGGGCTCGAGGGTGGGAACAGGCGGTAGGGCAGTCAGAGCGGCGTTTGCTGGTGCGGGGAGCACAGCATCCGTGGAGGGGTGGGTGCTCGGCAGTGAGCTCCCCGTGGGAGTGAGGGTGCTATCTGAGGTCAGGGCGGTCGTGGGAGCGCCCTGCTGCAGGTCAGGCTTGGTCATGGCTGGGGAGCCATGTGCTGATATCGGGGACTGTTGATCCCTTCTTGCCTGTGGGACACCCCCTGACCCCGGTGCTCACCTGTCTTCCTGAGATGGGCCGCTCCTGCACATCCAGACCCTCGCCCTGTCCTGGGGTCCATCCGCTGTCAGGTGTCCAGTCCCACCAGGATGCCTCCCAGGGATGCTGGATGCTGGGGCGGGGGGCAGCTGGGACCCGGGTGGGGGGCTCACAGCCCCCGAGTGAGAGTAGAATTCTGAGCGTGGTGCCCAAACACTGGCCCCCCGGCCTCCAGGAGCGCCCCGGACACCAGCTCCGCCCAGCACCAGTGGGAGCTGTGGTGTGGCGCCACTGGGCAGAGAGGCTCCGGGGAGGGGCAGGCGTGTCGGAGACCCAGTTGTGTCGCAGGCGGTGAAGGGAGCGCCTGTGCTGAAGTGGTGGGTGATGTTTGGTGTCGCGCCGCCACCAGGCAGGGACCTGCACTGCCCCTGGACTCGTGGTGGGGATGGGGGTCCCCTGAGTGCTGCCCCAGCCCAGGAGGGCCCGCATGGAGGCCCTCCCGGGAGAGGGGGTTGGCCGGGCCTGGGGCTGCTGCCTGCCCCCGCCTGTGATCCCCTGCCCGGATGCCTGCTTGGGCAGCTCTGGGCAGGGAGTGACCCGGCCGGGGTGGAGGGCTTGGTGGGCTTGGTGAGTGGGGAGTGGGGGGGCATCCCTGATGGGGCAGGAGAGAGCAGACAGGGACTGGCCTGTCTGCCCCGGGGGGGCTCTGAAGTTGGGGGCTGGTGTGTCGGGGTTGAGGAGCCTGGCCAGGGAGGGGGTGAGGGAGAAGCAGCCTCCTCTGGTGGGCTGTGTGCTGGTGGGCCGGGACCTGACCTGGGGGCCACGGGTGGCCCGATGCCCACATGAGGTTTGATGTCTCAGGGTCTGTGGGACCGAGCGGGCCGTGTCTCTTGGTGTCGGGCTGCTGCAGCTGGGGGGGGCGGGGGGGTGGCCACAGGGGGTGGGCTGGGGCCCGCGGCCTCTCGGTCCCTGGGGCTCATTATGTGCAGGGAGCATTAGGGGACGGGGACCAGAGTCTAGGTGAGCGCGGGTGGGCTGGGCTGACGACATCGGAGGCCCCATGCTGGGCTGTCTGGGTCTTCGGTCCCCCCTGAGGCTGTCTGTATCTCCGTGTCTGAGAATTTGGCCATATTCGCTTTGAGTGTGTATCTAGGGTGTAAACCCAACGATCACAGCTCTGCACGTGGTCCCCCAGGGCCGAGCTCCTGGGCCGTGCCCACCCAGGACGGCTGCTCAGAGGCGGGCAGTGTGGCTGGCTCGGGGGGTCGGGCAGGGACACAGCTGGCGGCTGGCTGACGGCACATACCAGCGTTCTGCCCGTAACACTGTCCCCCTCCTGCACTGCTGGGCCCCTTCCCCGGGCCCTGGACTCACGCCTCTGTCTGGGGTACGCGCGGGTCCAGGGTCAGAAAGAGTGGCTGCGCCAGATGGCTGGGCGGGTGCATCTGCCCAGTGATCTCAGGAGAGGCTGTGCTGATCGCAGGCTTTGATTAAACGACCTGTCCAGGCCGGCTGGGCAGCTGGTCAGTGTCAGGCTCGCTCGGCGGGATGCGGGGAAGCTGCCAGGGTGCTGCGGGGGTGGGGGGGGGGGGGGGGGGGGGGGGGGATGGGCCTTCTAGAGCGCTGGGGGCGCTGGCACTGCAGGGTGGAGGGCCAAACACACTACTGGCGTTAGAGACCCCCGGCTCCTCTGAGCCTCAGTTCCCGCATCTGTAGAGGAGGCTGGCCATCCTGGTCTCGCAGCTGGTGCTGAAGAGGCCCACGGGTGGCGGGTCAGCGGCTGGGGGTTCCCTGGGGCTGCCTGTGGCGGGGTCATCCTCCTCAGAGGCCCGTAGTTTCCGTCCAGGGTCTTCCCCTGCGGAGGGCACAGCGGGCCGCTGGCCAACTGCCCAGGATGGATGATGCCAGGCCCACGGATGTGTCCTCTGGCCGTGCTCACCGTGTGGCCTGCACAGGAAATTGAAGGACCTTGCCCTCGGTGCCCGGCCGGGCATGGCGGCCTGGTTCACCACCCCTCCCACCCAGGGGGCTGCTCATCTGGAATGTTTTCACCCTCTCTTCGGAGGCAGGTGGGAAGGAGGTGGGCCGGGGTCCTCGCCCACCCCACTGCACGCGGGGACGCGTTCCGGGGAGCTGAGTCCTGGGGCCCCTCTCGCCGGCTCTGCCTCTTCATCTGTACTGTGCGCTCCGTGAGGGGGCAGGGGCTGCGCTGCCACCGCCGGAGGCCGAGTGTCACATGCCCCTCTCACCTGGCCGTTCCCGTGCTCCTCGGTGAGGGTGGGCAGACGCCCTGGGAGGGCGGCCGGGACCTCTCCGCTCCGCTTTAGTATCCCCGCCTGTAAAACGGGGGGCAGCCGACTTAACCATCACGAGAAGCGTTTGCAGCCTTGAGGTATAAATGCCTGATCATGAGGAAATGCTGGCGTCGGGGGCTGGGCCTCTGACGTTTCACTTAGGAAACGACAGTGCTGGGGACAGAGCTGGTTCTCCTGGAGCAGGTTGGACTGGCACTGGAGGTCCAGACATGGCAGGGCTGGGACCAGGAGGCCTGGGGGGACATTGCTGGTGACCTTGGGCCCCTGTGTCCCCCTCCAAGGAGTCACCCCCCGGAGGCCCCCAACCCCCAGCAGTGGAGTTTGTGATGCACCCAGGGCAGGGCGCAGGGGAGGGGAGAGCCTGTGGACCCAGGCGGCGACAGGGTGCTGGCTGCGGGGCGGGCAGGTGTCCAGCCCCCGCCTTCACCTCATCACCCCAAACTCGGTGTCCTCCCAGCTCGGGGAGCCCCTGGAGAGGCCAGGGATCCTACTCTTGGGAAACGTGATCCCCTCCCTGGCCTGTGAATATTTCATCAGCGGATTAAAAATTGAAGCTGAACCTTCGTCGCCTGCTCCGAGAGGGTGGAGGAGGGGCGCCGGCTCCGTTTCAGACCCGTCTGAGTATTTTTTTTTTTTGATGATGGAGCCTTGTCAATTAGAAAATGACACTGCTGTTTAAAATGCCGTTCTGCGGCCCTCTTTAATTAAAGCCGAGGTGTAATAGCCAATCTGGAGCCGTGAATGAATTTTTAAGCATCAAATGAGAGGTGAACAGCGCCCAGTGGGGTCTGTGAGAGTGGGTGCGCGGGGGCCTCGGGGAGGTCTGTGGCGGCCACGCAGAGGCTGTGGGCCTGGCCTCTTGGGGGCGGGCTGTGTGTGGCTGGCGTGTGTTGGTGGCGTCGTTCTGGTCTGTATGTGGCGGGGTGGGGGGGGTGGATTCTGGTCTCTGTGTGCCCATGTGTAAGTGTGCAGGTGTGCACGTGTGTCAGGACGGGGAGAGCCTGGGGGGCTGAGGTCTGGCTTCCTGTTGGTCAGGAGGCCTGATTTGTGGGGAGTTGGAGCCCTGATGGCCCCGCAGGAGGGTCCCAGGAGTGATGTGTGAGGGGCTTGGGTGCAGCCAGGGGACAGTGTTCTGGGCTTGAGGGCCGAGGGATCGAGGGCCTGGTCCCAGGGCTGCAGTGGGCTTTGGGCCTGCCCAGGTGTGTGATGGGAACGTGGCGAGGCAGGGGGCAGGTGAGCCGCCCCCAGGCCTCCCGGGCCGTGGGGCAGCCTAGACGTGGATGGACCCTGCCACTCCTGACGGGAGGGTTGGACACCCCAGCGGCGTTGGGCTGGGGGATCCAGCCAGGCCTGGTGGCCGCTCGCCAGGGCCCACCTGGGGTGCATCAGGGCCCGCGGGTGCGTCTTGGGCACCAGGGAGGGCGCAGGGGTCCCACTCCGGGCCTACAGACGGGCGGCCCAGGGCTTGGCAGCACCGCCCTGCCCCTCCCCACCTCGCCTCTGCCCAGCAGCGGGCAGAGGTGGCTGCGCGCCCAGAGCAGACCGTGCGAGGCTAAGTGTCTGGACCACCCAGCCTCCAGCCACCCTCTGCTGGGCCTCCCTTGTTTTCCTTTGGCGGGGCCGGCGCTGATCCCCGGCTGCCGGCGGGCGCTGGGGGCCGCGTGCCCCAGCCACGTCCTGCAGCTACCTCCTGACTCGGCGGCGGTCTCCCCTGCGAAACAGAGTCAGGGTGCGGGTGTCGTGGGGTCGACTGAGGGGCCGAGTGCGGCGCCAGCACGGGGAGTGGCTCCACGTCGGTCCTTAGCGTCCCCTGCACGTTGTATGGGGCGCAGAGAGGGGCGCGGTCCTCTGGGAGAGCGAGGTGCCCGCTCCATTTGCGCATCCCGGGGGTCGGGGGCAGCTGCGTGGGCTGCAGCGCCTTGGGCACGTCGGCCCCATCTGCTCATCTTCCCCGGCCCAGGGCAGCGGGTCTCAGCGCGGTCTCCCCCATCTTCCTTGTCTCCTGGGGGACGGGACCCCCACTTCCTAGCGTGGGCACTGGTTGCACCCGGGGAGGCAGAGGGCAGTTCGCGCCCTGGGTTCTCCCCGTGCCGTCGGGCTGGGCCCCGGGTGCGTGGGCTGGGAGGGTGAGTGGACTGGCCGGGGTCCTCCAGGGTCTGCCGAGTTGGATCCCCCTTTGGCACTGGTGGCGGGGAGGGGTGGGCCCACAGCCAGGATTCTGGGGCCCGAGGCGACGAGGGCAGACCCTGGCCTGAGCCGGCTCTGCTGGGGAGAGGGCATGTTTATTTTCTTAGGCGGATTTAAAGGCTGCTGGAATTGTACTCACGAAGGTCCCCAGAAGGTGGAATTTCTGACAGCCCTGGGTGTGGGAGGCCTGGGCCTGGTGGACAGAAGTGGAGGGGGATCTGGCGGCCTGGGCTGCATGTGTGCAAGTGGGCACGTGTGTGTGTGCGTGTGTTCGTGCTGCCGTGTGTGTACATGTGGGGCGTTAGGCTGGTCTCCCTTCGCGTGGCCGCCCTGGACATTCCCCTGTTTCAGCAAACCTTCCCTTGTGTTCAAAAGAATTCAGACTCTACCAAGTGATGCCCTGTCAGCTTCTTGGAACCTGTGTGTCCCCAGTGTGTCCATCTGGGCCTTCCGGTCCTCCTGAAGGTGGTGGCCTGGATACAGCCCTCCTACTCCAGACCAGCGGGTTGCCTGCCCTCCCGCCAACCCCTTCCCAGGGCAGGAGGGCTGAGGTGCCCTCTGGGCAGTGATACCAGGCCTCGGGAAGGGAAGGGGCCATTCCTCCCTGAAGCCTTCCGGTCCCTTTAGAAGGTGGTTTGTTTCTAGGGCTAGGTGTACCTGTTTGGCGAGCCGAGCCATCTGTGACTTGGCATGCCTGACGTCTCCCTGGTGATGTTGGAAAGACTCATGGACAGCTCCAAACACATCTCCGAGCCACGCTGAGGGTGCTTTTAGAAAGCTGTGTCTGCAGTTCGGGGCAGTGTTCCACAGGTGCTGCAGGGAATGGGGTTGGGAGAGCAAGAGGTGCTGTCTCGGGGAGCAGAGGTCACCAGGCCCCTGGAGCAGGGACTCAGGTCTGCCCCAGCCCGCAGGCCCCAGCCCGCAGGCCTCTCTGACTGACTGGTCGTGGCCGCCAGGGGCTCAGCGGGAGAAGTTCTGGGGCCTCGGAGAGGTGCAGTGATGGCGAGCAGGGAGATCAGGGGCAGGAGAGGTGTGTGCCACGCCGTTGCCGTCCTGGGCCTGCCGGCGTCCGCGGCTACTGGGATTGAGCTCTGTCACCAGGAGCTGAATGGCGAGGCCGTGTCCGTGGTCATCATCACTCCTCCAGAATTGTTCGCCGATGCCGCCGCCGGTTACCCTGCATCCCCCCTCCTTGAACAGGCTGGCGGGAGAAGGCCTGAGGGATTTGTGAAAGTGACCCGGTCGGAGCTTCTCACCCTGGCTGCCCTAACCCTAACCCGAACCCTCCCTGCCTTGCCCTCCTTTGAAAGCAGGGGAGCCTTCAGAACTGCCGGTGTCCAGGCCACGCCCTGGACCAATTAGATCAGCAGCCTTGGGGGCCGGGCCTGGGCACTGGGGCTTTTCAGCAGCCCCTGGGTGACACTGATGTGCAGGTATCATCTGGGCCAGGTGCTCCCCGGTATCCTTCCTGTAACTCCGTGTGTGTGTGTGTGTGTGTGTGTCTTCCCAGGAGATTTAAATCTTAAGGAGCTCTGTTGTTGGTCTGGGTCAGACCTGGCCCCATGTCCCTGGCCCTCCACGCTCCTCAGGTGATGATTCCGAGTCCTTGATCCGTGGCTCCCGTCCTGCAGACCTTTGCACGCTGACTTCCCTGCCAGTGCCCGTGGGCCTTCCAGGGCCGGCGATGGGCGTGGGCATGTAGGGACTGAGGCCACTAGCAAGTCTCCACTGGTAGTTGGGGACCTTGCTTCAGTGTTGTGGGGTGTTTGGGCCAGAGGGACCCCCCAGAGACTGGCTCCCCTGCTCTCAGGAAGCTGCGTGAGCAGGGCATCTGTTCCAGGAGTGCCCGGGACCCGTGATTGCAGGAGGGCCGTGCATCCTTTCTCCTGCCCAGGTTGGCCTTTGGGGTTCAGGGTGGGGCTGGGGCCGGGCCACCCCCTCCCTGCAGGCAGGAGCCCTCCCCTGTGCCTGGATCCCCTCTGCCTCTTTCTGCCCCGGAGTCCATCCTCACCTGGGGAAGTGCAGGCCCAGGTCCCAGGCTCTGTGCTGTGGGTCCCCAGGGTCAGGGTGAGCGGTGCCTGGCGGTCTGGGCATCTGAGCTCCGCAGCTGGGCCAGGCGGCCAGTCTGACTTGTAGGGGGCAGGGAGCCCTGGCAACTGAAAGACAGATGGTGAAGACCAGCCGGACCGTCATCCGGGGTCAGGAAGATGTCGGGCGCCTCCCCCCACCCCGCCCCAGTCTCAGTTTCCTGATCTGCCCTCGGGAGGCTGGGAAGGTGAACGGTGCTCGTGGCTCAGCCACAGCCTTGGGAATCACTGCTTGTCAGTTTTGGTTAATCTTCGCTTGTTTGGGCCTCACCTCTCGGGTGGGGTGGGAAGGGAGAGGCACAGGCCCAGAGTTCGGGGGCCAGCAGAGCCCGAGAGGGGGGATGGGGTGGCGGCTACCTGCAGAGAGGTTTGCAAGGCGTCCTCTGTGGCCAGGGCTGAGTGCTGCGAGGTCTGGGAGGCCCGGACCCTGCCCCCCTGAGGGTGGGGGAAGCACCGGCCTCTGCCCTCGCTCTGTTCTCCAGCCTGAAGGGCGGTGGGTCCTTGCAACACTGCAGAGGCAGGTAGAGACCTGGCCCGTTGTGCAACCTGCAGCTGTGCGGGGAATTCCTCCCAGGGCCCTGGCTCTGCCCTGCCCTGGAGTCTGCATTCTTTGGAAAGCTTTGTGGCTCCCTGGTCCCAGGGGAGCAGAGGCTGTGAGGGTGTCAGATAAGGGTGTCAGCCTAAGGGTGTCAGATAAGCCCTTGGGGGGGGTGGTTTGACCACAGCCGGGTTTGGGGGACGAGGTCTGGGATGGCTGCTGGACCTGGATGCCTCCGAAGAGAGGAGGCAGGGTTGTGTCCCCACGGGGAGCCAGAGCGGGGCCCACCAGAGCTCTCGCTGTGGGAGCCGGGCTCAGGCTGTCCCAGACCAGGCCTCCTTTTCCTGGTGGCCGGGGAAGCATGAACCCTGCTGGCCTCTGCTCCTTCCCTGCCACCCCAGGCGGTCTGGGACGGGCTAGGGGCCTTCTCGGGAGGCCGACCCACCCTCGTCCAGCTTCCCTGCCCCAACCCTGTGGGGCTGGTCCCGGGTGGGTGGCACAGCGTCAGGCTTTTGGGGGTGCCCCCACTGGGGAGCAGGGGGCCACAAGTTACTCAAGCACTCCGAGCCTTGGTTTCTTCATCACTGAAATGGAGAGAATAAGGTGCTGCCTCGCTGGGTCTCTGTAGGGTGGGGGGGAACGGCCTGGCTCATGCTGGGAAGACGGAGCACGTGGTGGCGGGGTCTGGGGTCCCCGGGTCTGGCCTCGGGCTGGGCTCACCATCTGGGCGTGAGAAAAGATCCCTGGCGGGTGGGCGGGCCACGGGGCGTGAGGGTCCCCACGGCGGGCTCCTCTTCAAGCCCGTCCCCCAGCCCTGCTGACGAGGGAGGGGACCCTGTGCACAGAGGAGGCTGGGGGGGAGTGGGGCCCTCCCCGCCCCCAAGTGACGGCCCTGTGTGCCGGGCGCACGGGGGTGATCCTGTTCGTGACTCTTGGACCAGACACCACTGGGCTTCAGACGGGGAGGGTGGACTTTCTCATCAGGGTCCTACTGGGGGGGGGGTCACAGCTCGGCCGGCGGCACGTGTGCCCACACGGCCGGGAAAGGCCTCCCCTCGCCCGGGGCCTGCTCAGCCCGGACCCTGATAGGGGGTGTCTCCCGGGGCCCCCTCACCTGCCTCCTTCCCCACCTAGCAACCTCAGGGCCCGAGCCGGGCTGGGGAGCAGAAACGAGACACAAAGCAAAGCAAAAATCCGCCCCCAGTCCCCCCGCCCTGCGCCTCCGCCTGCTTGTCTGCGGCCCAGCGGCCTGTTGCAGTCACTCGCTGGGGGCCGGGTTGCGTAACGCGTTGGAGTGGATAGTCGCCCGGTGCTGGGTCGTCCGGGGCAGTTGGACGGGTTTGGATCTGGTCCCTGGTGGAGGGCCTGCTCCCCGTGAGGGGAAACCAGCCGGAGTCGGCTGCTGCGGGACACGCCTGCACCCTCCTCCCCGCTCCCCCGGCCCCGTCCTGGGGAAAAGCGGGCTCTGCGGGGCCGGGGAGAGGCCTGCACGGAGCTGGGTCTCGCCTCAGCCCCTGTCCTGCAGCTGTGTGACGTCAGGCCCTTCCCGCCTCGGTTTCCTCCTGGGCCTGGGGGTGGGGTTGGAGGAGGGGGTCTGTCCACAGGAGTTGTGCCAGGCCCGGGACGGCTGGGTCAAGGGGAGGGCGGGAGCCGCTGAGGCCCTGGCGACCCCACGCCCGCCAGGCCCCCTGAGGCCCGGGGATGCAGTGGTGGACACGGTCCTGAGCGGCGTTTAGGGAGGGAATGCTCCATCCAAGCAGCAGTCGGCTTTCTGTTAGCCAGAACGTCCCAGGACGCGGGCCTGTTTCAGAAATAAGCAGGGCCACCCTCAGGGCGGAGCCCACGTTCCTAGAAAAGGGGGTGTCAGTCGTGCTTTCTCTGTAAGTTGACCAGTGTGGCCCTGGCAGCCTATGACCTGTCTTACCAGGGGATGAGACTGTGGCGGCAGCTCGTGGCAGGCCCGAGGGCAGCGGGGAGAAGCGACGGCCGAGGAGGAGGCCGGGGGCGGCCGCAGTTATCCACGGTGCCCCGGGAGCACGGGAAGGCCGGCGGGAGCATGGGCCGTGGGTGGCCTGGGGATCCTTCGGGACGCATGGCGGGAGTGAGGTGCGACCCCTGCGTGTGTTTTCGTGGACGGACCCTGGTCGCCTGCCCACCCGAGGGTTGTGTCCTTCAGAGGGGTCCCCGTGGGAGGCCGTGTGTCACTTCTGAGAGGGCTGCCGCTGGCCACCCTGCCCCCGACCAAGGAAGGAACTGACAGTCACTGCTTTCCCAGGTCAGTCAGAGCCCAGACCGCCAAGTTCTGCCCAGCCCAGGCTGGGTGTCCTCACCTGGAGACTGTCCTGGCCTGATGAGCTGTGAGCTGGGCAGGGGGCTACTTCCAGGCAGGAGGTAAGGCGAGGGCTCAGGGTCTAGTTGGGGCGACGGGCAGGACGTGGGCAGCTGTAGTCCAGGGTGAAAGGGCCTCCGTCAACCTGGGCTGGGGTGGAGCTTGGGGGAAGGCTTCCTGGAAGAGGCAACAACCTGCAGGTCTAGATAACGGAACGGATGGGGGAACAGCATTTGCAAAGGGCCAGAGGTGAAAGGGGACTTCTGGGTTCTTGCGGGGAAGTCAAGGCCTGAGCCTGGGCTGGCCCCAGAGGGCCTGTGCCGGGTCTGGACTTGACCCTGTGGGAACCCTGGACGTGTTGTATGCGGAAGCTAACAAGGTCCAGTTCCCGAGAATTCTCCAGGAATCTGGGTTTCCAGGCTTCCCTTTGGTGCTGTTTCAGTAGAGCAGCGCTGCCCCCAGGCTCTCCCTCCCCTTGTCATCAGCAGGATGGGGCAGGACCGCTTGGCCCTGCCCGACACAAGCTGCTCTGGGGCAGGCCTGGGCCAGGGCTGGGGTCTCCGCGAGGCGGTGGTGGCAGCCTTGGGAATGCCGGCAGGTCTGAGCCTGGCCTGTGTGTGAAAGCGTGCTGTGCATGAGGGCAGAGGGCCAGGAGCCCCGCAGTTCACAGTTCACTGCTGCGGGCTCAGGGAGGGAAGGGGGGGCGTGTCCCAGCATCCCCTAGAGCTTAGAAAAGCGGAAGGAAAGAAGGGGTGCGGGGGAGCCTTGTGGGCCAAGCTAGAATCGCCGAGAGGCTCACACCCCGTGTTGGGGGGGATTTTCATTAAGCCTTGTGTCACCTCCCCCTTTCCAAGGCAGAGGGGCCCGTTCAGTCCAGGGAGCGTTTGAGCACCTCCTGGTGCAGGAGAAGTTTGGGGTGAGGCCCAGGAGGAAACAGGGTCTGCAGCAGAGTGGGGGCCCTTGGGGGTCGGGTCTCCCAGGCTATCAGTAGGGACAGGCGAGGAGAGTGAGGTGTTCCCTTTGGGCCACTTCCCCGCCCCACCTGAATGAGGGTGCCTAAGAACCGGATTTGAAACCCACCAGTCTCAGTGAACATCTGGGGAAACTGAGGCCCAGCAGTGGATGCCCGAGGCCACGCAGAGCCTGGGAGGGCTGCAGAGCCCAGGCGGCTTTGATGGGGCTCCCTTGTCGGGGCTGCCCTGGGGCCTCTCGTGTTTTGGAGGGCACCTCTGCTCCTTATTCGCCAGTAACCAGCTAATTAGTCATGTGGGGGGTGCCTGCTGCCCCAGGCTGCCCCTCCCCGGGCACTTTTTTCTTCTGGCTTCACTTCCTTTCCTTCTCCATCCCTCTTGGCTCTCTGGCGCTCCTGCCCTGCGGCGCCTCGCCAGCTCCCAGCCCCCCATCTGCCCAGCTCCCAGCCCCCAGCCCCCCAGCTCCGTGGAAAATGAATTCCATAAATCGTCGTCCTCATTCTCCTCTGGGCTCTGCGCCCTCTCAGGGGACACTGTGTATGCCTTTGTCTGGAGGGTGCTGGGCTGGGGAGGGTGGGACCCCAGGGGAGGGGGCTGGCCCCCACCCTCTCTCCGTGGGCCTGGGCTTGATTTTTCCCAAAGATTGGTTAAGAGGGACCCGTCACTCACTCTGCTGAATAAGTAATAAAAAACCCAGTAATCGTTTGTGGCCTGAATCCCAGGAGAGGGCAGGTACCTGTGGCTCTGGGGTCAGAACCAGCCGCGGTGGAGCCCTGGCGGGGGCAGGTGGCAGGCGGCCCCTACTGTGGCCACCCCCCGCCCTCCCCAAACACACAGCCATGGTTTGGGAGGTCCTGTGACAGCCCTTGGTGCCCTGGCCCACCTCCTGGCCACTTCCCTCGTGGGCTGCTTCAGGCCATCTGTCTAGCTGGGCAGGGCAGCCTGGGGGGCTCTGGTGGGCCTGGCCTGTGAAGGGAAGCAGCTCATGCACTGAGGCTCCTTGTCGCCCCACCAAGGGCAGGCAGAAGGTTCTGGGGCCTCCCGGGGTCCCGGGCTGGAGAGGGGGCAAGGAGCCAGGCAAGGCGGTTGAGCCGGGGTGGGACGGGCTGTGCTGAGTGCCGCGTCCGGTCCTTCAGCCGTGATCCGGGCTGGTTTTTTCATGGCCACTTAACCCCCCAAGAGGCAGAGGTGGCAGGAGCCCCCAGGCTCTTACCTAAAGCCCCTGCTCTCACTGCCCGGGGGGTGGGGGCGCGTGGGGGTGGTGGTCCCAGGGTCCCCAGGCCCGGGCTGGGAGCCACGCGCTGCTCTCGGTGGCCTTGCCCAGGCTGCGGGGTGAGGGGTCGGCGTCCGGCCGCTGCCTGAGCCGGTGACGGACTGCAGATTCCCGTGTGGTCGGGGCTAGGGCCGAGCTGGCAGGAAGCAGCTGTTCCTTCCCCGCTCCCACCCGTGCTGGTCACGGGACCGTGCTGTGACAGTGAGGCCGGATGTGCCCTGTGGCCTTGCAGAAGTGCCGGGTTCGAGATGGCATCCCTGAGCCTGCCTCCTCGTCTGGAGGACAGGCGGTGGGGACGACGTGGGTGCCGCGCCCTGCCCAGCACCCCTCGTCCAGACGCTGCTTCCAAGCCTGTTGAAAGGTCTTTAGCAGCAGAGGGGCCCCCGCTTCGGTCCCAGGGTCTGACTTGTCCGGGGGCAACCCGGGATCCGGGACCACCCAGGGAGGAGTTCTGGCCAGGACGTCCTGGAGGGAGTAGCCCCATTCAAGGCCTGGGGTCCCTGGCTGCCCCCGGACTGGGCCGAGACCTGGGACTTCGCCTGGGGGATGGTGGACGCGGGGGACCAAGGCGGGGGCAGGCTGGGCGGGCGCCGAATGGGGCTGTTGGGCAGGCTGGGCGAAGGGGTCCTGGGCTGGGCCCGGGGCCCATCCCCAGGGGCTATGAGAGCCCCAGCTGAGCCCCATCTTTGCTCTGGTCTGGGGTCTGGGAGCCGCCTCCGGGTGGTCTGGGAACCCAGGAGGCCTGGCAGGGTTTGTGAGGTGCCCCCGCGGTGCCTGGCTCCGCCCCCTGCTCCCTTTGAGCCCAGTGAGGCCAGCGCCTCCTCTGCGGGCTCCGCTGGGAGTTTATCTGATGGGAGCGAGCAGCCTTTCGGTGTCAGACTTGACTTTGCCATGCGTCCTGGCATCTGTCTCATCAGAGTAACGCGGTGACCATTTTGCTAATTTGCTCATGAACTAATTAACACTGGAGCTTTCTCTGGGCCTGGCACCTGGTCTCAGAGCCAGAAGGAAACTTGGAGAGCTCACGTCACGGGTGGGGAGACCGAGGCCTCCCTCGCGGCAGGGCGGCTGTCCCCGCGCTGGCCCTGACGCCATCCGGGCCTGTGACCCACTGTGTGCAGTGGCCCATTTCAGGACCTGCCCAGCTGTCCCGGCGCCTCGGGCCCCGTGGTCCCTCCTCGCATCACCCCCTGCTACCCACGCCCCCCACCCCCCGTCCCTCTCGCTCTTTCCAGCCCGAGTCCATCCGGGGGGGCTGGGACAGCCGTGGCCAGAAGGTGCAGGTGACGGAGGTGCAGGCGACGTGCCCCAGCTCTGGCCCCCTCCCAGCCCCGAGCTCGCCCCTGGCCAGCACTGCCTCTCCTGGACGTTGTCCCACTGCCCGAGGGGGTCAGGAGGGACGTGGCTCTGGAAAGTGGGCTCTGCTTGTCCCTGCTGCTTGGGGCAGCCCCCGCTCGTGCCTCAGCGTCCCCATCGCCGCTGGGCTATCGCCCACCCCGGCCCCGCGTGTTCCTTGCCCGACCTGCCCCCCTGTGGCTCCTGATCGTCTCGTGTATGGGGGCCAGAGGTCTGTGTGGGGCCGGGGTGTCTCCCGGACCCCTCGTGCCCACTGTGGTCCCTGTGGACGCTCCCGCAGCCCCACGTCTCTCCCTACTGCCACAGGCAGCGTGTTTTGGTGGCTGGTCCAGGGTCTCCCCAAGCCTTGCCCGGCTGAGCTTCCAGAGGGCGGGAGTGGAGCTGGCCGTGTCCCCACTGTGCACCCAGCACCCGGCACAGCGCTCGCGGCCGCGGGTGCTCTGAGAGAATAAACAGTGGTATTCGAGGTTGCAGAGCTGCCTCCCAGAGACGGGCCGCCTTCTCTCCCTGGGGTGGGGGGCCCTGGGGCCACGTGAGTTGTTTCCCCGAGCAGGAGAGACCGGAGGTCCCCAGGGGTGAGCCTCAGAGTCTGTGTTGAGCCACTTGTCTCTCGTGGCCAGCTCCTGGCTGGGGTGGACGCTCTTGATGATGGCCAAGCCTGGCTGTCGGGGCTCCAAGCAGGAGTTGGGGAGGGGTCTTCTCCTCCGCCAGAAGCCCTGCCTCCCCGCCCCCCACCCCGCCCCGCCTGAGCCTGGCTCCCACACCATGTTTCTCGGGCCCGAGGCGCCCTCCGACCCAGCCATCCCATCCCTCCCCAGCTCCCAGCCCCGGTCTGGGCGAACGCTTGCTGTCCTTAGTCAGAGAAGGACGGGGATGGCCGCAGAGCTGGCGCCCCTCCTCCCACCCCCTTCCCTTTGACAGGTCCGGGACGGTATGGTCACCCTCCCGGGGCTGCTGGGCGCTCGTTTCCTGCAGGGCTCTGTCTGTGGTGGGGAGCCTTCTGGGGGTCTTCGTGTCTTGTGATGGGTGTACTGTGAGTGATGGCCGTGGGTGTGTGGGCAGCAAGGCCTCGCTGCTCCCTGTTCCTGCACAGCCTGGTGGCAGCAGGGCCGGCCTCAGAGGCG